TCAGAGACTTTAACTTATATAGAGTCTCCCCTTGGAGCAGCTGATAGAATTCAAACCACCTGCCTTTGGGCTGACAGCACAACTTCTTACCACTAGACCATCAGAGCTCCTTTACCTAGGATGCATTTGAATTATTTTATTTAGCCAAACAAAAACAAGTTGTATTTAAACAGTGACAGAATAAGAAAGCACTAAAAATTGTATGTAGAATTAGGAATGAATTTATCTGAGGGACAATTTCCTTTCTATTAAATACACAAAGCTATCAATTTATGAATGCAGATGATGAGACGATATGAGGTTGAGTCATTCATTCAAAGGGTGTATCGTGAATATCTGCCATGTATAAATAAATACCTATGCTCAATTGTTAGAAGAATTAAGAATGAGCAAGGACATGTTTCTGTACTTGAGGCACTTAAAGTCCAATTGGAGAGGGATCATACACTCATGAGTCATTCAAACAGCAAAGTCCTAAAAATAGGAACAGAGAACAGAGTATTGCAGAAAGCAAATGCCAGTGAGGTGAGGGTTCTCAAAACTCTACTCATCCACTTAGGTTCCAAACAAACCTCTGCCTGAAGCTGCCTCTTGCTGGACAGTAATTTCTGCTAGTAAATGATCCCATCTTCTGGGTGGAGATTCTGGATAATAATTCTCACACAGCAACCCTTCCTTGGAGTAAAAGTGTCCTTCCTTCATCTTGATCTAGTTTCATTCATCTTGAGTCCTGAGTGGATTCAATTGACATTGAGTTGAGGTTGAGTCATAGCAACTCTATAAAGACAAACTAGAATTGCTTGCTAGTATTTCCTAAGGTATTGTTTACCTCAGATTCTCATATTTTCCCCCCATGGTAGTTTGAATCACTAACTTTTCAGTTAGCAGCTTACTGCTTACCCACTGTGCCAACAGAGATCCTCTGTGGAATCTATACTTGCTTTTATTTGGGGCATTATATAGAACCTATTTATCTCCTAAAGGAATGACAAAGCAGAGGTGTGGCACTGGATAATAACACAACGCAGACTGACAACCAGTGACTGTGTGGAAACATGCTAAGAAGAGCTGCTTTTCAGCCTGTTGGTGAATAGGAGCCACTCTTATCTTGTCATCCCCAAACCGGGGTTGAACAATACTCAGTTCTTCCAATCCTTTCTTCTAAAGGGACTGACAAGGAGGATATTTTTGGTTAAAGAATTGAAAGCAACAACAATAGGAGAGTTGTTGAATGCAGAGTTCAGAGACCTACACTTGTCCCAGCTAGTTCTGCCTCGAACCAGCTTCCTCATCTGAAGCCTTGCTTCCTCATCTGTCAAATGAAAGGGTTATTGTGTTGAACTGTTAAACTCAGTGAATTAGGAACCACAAGAGTCCTATGATTTTATTGGATCTACTCCCCAACCATGACTCATTTAATCTCCGACCTTGCAAATACAAATTCCTCCCTGATGATGGAAGTTACAACTTAATTTTCTTATTAGTAAGCTGTACACACTGAAAGCTTATGTGCAGTGCTGACTGGGAAGTTGAGACAAAGAAAATGGCTCCTAAATTCTTCATGAGATTGAAACAGAAAACAAGACATTATTATATCAATTCCTATTTCCTCTGTATTCATGCTAAACAATATAAATATCAATATTAAATTATGTGAGTATACTTTCAATTTTTCCTTTCATGGCATCTCACAGTGAATCTTTACCTTTCAACTTTTAGTTCAAAGTCATGGGGGAAAAAGAACAACCAAACATAACCAGGAAACATGAACACGGAATTTTAGCACCTTAGGGCTATAAGTGATGCCCTAGATTAACCCCAAACTCCTTGATAGCTATATTGTTATCTATAGAGTCAATGAGTAAACCAACGAGGGGTCCAAGATGTGAAATAGCTCACTCCAAGACTGACTTCTTGAAGTATCTTTGTTCAATTTGCTTCTCCCAGACCAACTCAGATTAGACAATGACACCATCTACATGGGGCAGGGGAGTACATAAAAGAAAAGAAAGACAAAGAACATTGATGAGACAGAGACAGTTCCTCTCCTAGAATATGCAGACTCACTTCCTCAACACAAAACTATTTCATATTTCTATCCACTATTCTCTGCCTCCCTGCAGGAAGGCAGCACTAGACTATCTATGAAGAGTGTTAAGAGAATATGTTGCCCTTTAACAGCTAGCCATTTCCTCCCATATCACTTACTGCTTTAATATGGCATTGGGTAAATAAAACTGAATGCTAAGGACTTGTTTCCTTCATTGAAAAATATAAAATCATGGGAGCTCTGGTGGCCTAGTGGCAAGGAACTGCAACTACAATCCCAGAGGCACACAGTTCGAACCCACCAGATGCTCTGCCGGGGAAGGAGGGACAATCTCCTCCTGTACCAGTCAGATCTGATTTGACGGTACACGCACACACACAAAAATAATATATTAAAAAATATATAAAATCATGACAAACTTTCCCCCTTCTTTATTGTTATTGTTAGTATGTGACATTGAATTAGAATCCACTCATAGCTGACCCTCCAGCAGGTTTTCAGCAGCAGTTTGTGTGGAAGAAGTAGCTGGTGAATTCAAACTGCATTCCTTTTGGTTGGCAGTGCAGCTCTCTACCACTAGGTTATCAAAGCTGCCTTTTCCCTCTTTGTTTCCCTATGAATCCAGGCAAGTTACCATAAAGCATCTCAGATATAGATATACATATAAATATACACACACACAAAGAGTTGCATATGTAAACTGTTGATCTAAACTTCAGTAGTTAGCACTAAATGTCTGAGTTATTGGTATCACATGGTAAGAACAAATTATTCCTTTCCAATCCATTTTGTCTCCCCATTCAGTAGATGAATTATGCTTTATTGCTACTGTTCTTCTTACCACCGAACAAAATTGATGATTTGACAACATTGAGTAATATCCTGAAATCCATGCACTCCAGACCAGATTGTCTAGGATAACTCAGACTATTAGAACTGGAAGGGGCTTTCAAGAATATCTAATCAAACCCCCTTTCTTTACAACTAAAAAAAAAGAGAGTTGCAAGGAAAAAGTCTTGTTACTTATTAGGTCCCTCACTATAAGCAGGCTCAGATCTAGAAGCTGCGTCCCAAGTCTTCCTGTCTAGACCCTTTCTACAGTCCCTACTGCTTTCCAGTGTAGGCTTTCCAAACACTCAGGACACTTCGCTGATAACAATTACTTGGAAGTCAGCCCTTCCCATTCCAGAGCTGCCTCTGCTATCCCAGGTCATGAATTATAGATTCAAGAGATTACCCAAGCCTGAATATGTATATGAGTTCCCTTTCTTGCACTGATGATTTTTAGTAAGGCTTTGTTTGGATCTCCCCCCCCTTTTAAAAGATACTATAAATCAGGAAGATGTGTGGAAATGTTTATTGTTATTAGTTGCTCCCATAGTAAATTATTGCTCTAATTTCTCCAAAATCTATTGTTGCTATGCAGTGAGCAGCCAAGAGGGAACACTCTGATTTTAAATTATGTGAGCAATTCAGTCATCTGGTTCACGTCTAAGATTAACATATCCCTACTTGGTATGCATAATTGGGGATAGCAGCCTACCAACTCTGTTTTGATGATTCTGTGATAGGAAAATCTCTTAGTTGCATTAAGCCCCTATCTCTTGACTGCAGAGATGCCCATCTATGCAAGCCCCACCTGGTAAAGATAGGCACACACTGAAGATACTGTGTGTCTGATCCCAGAGTATCACAATAAGGCAAATATAAAAAAGTGAGTCATGTACATTTTTTCATTTATACATAAGTAACTATGCATACATAAATTATATTTGCACTATACTATAGTCCATTACATGTGAAAAATTATTAAGAAAAAGTTTGAAATACTGTGAGAATTACCAAAATGTGATTTAGAGACATGAGTGAGCACATTCAATGGTGGATAAATGGTGCCAACAGACTTGCTCAATACAAGATCGTCACAAATCCTCAATTTAAAAAAAATGTAGTATATGCAAAGGACCAAAAAAAAAGCGAAGCACAATAAAACAAAGCATGCTTCTATCAGTGATTGCATTAGGATGCCGGCAAAAAGAGTTCAACTTGCCTTTATTACCATCGGCTTTAAAACCCTGGTTTTCCCACTCACTAGACGAGTGGCTGGGCTGTGCACCTGGTTTCTGAACTCTTTCATCATCTGTAAAATGTTGAGCAAATTTGAACGTGCTTTATATATGCTGTATTACTGGGCCTAACTGATGTCAAAGGATCATTTAAACCCATTAAGGATAAGAATATAACTTTAATATTAAAAATGTTCAAAACATTTTATGTAAAGTCCCAACGGCCTTAACGGGGTAGAAAAGTATGTTCTACCATTTTACCACTTGTTTGACCTTGGCCAGGTTTCATCATCTTCAGTTTTAATTTTCATGGAAGATTCCAAACATCAAAAAATAAGGCGACTAACTGAAATAATGGACTAAGCACCTGTTAAGGCACTCTCCAATGTTTTCTTAATATTGTTTCTTCTCTTTCCTCAACACTTTTTTTCCTTCCAGAAGTATTTTAAAGCACATTACAGCACGTCTTGCTGTTATTTTAAGATTTCTGTGCCTCAATTTTCTTATCTAGGAAAATAGAGATTATATCGAGCTCCTGGAGTGGAATGGAGATATAATAAAGTGTGAGAGCTGAGTAGTCAATAAATGTTAGCTATAATAATACCTACTTTGCACCAGCCATTGCAGGGATGTAAAAACCACTTTGCAGCACTTAGCGCCTCGTGAGATTCTTAAACGCACAGCCTCAAGTCGAGTTCTGCGTTGCTAGGTTTGCGGACGCCCCCTTCAGGCCACCCTTCTTCAGACTCGCGCAGGCGGGATGAAGATTGTCCCTCGTGGCCTCCCGTCGCAGCAGGAAGTGGGATTGGACCGAGTTCCGGGCTCAAGGCGGCCTCTTGAAGAGAGCAAAGGAGCCCACCTGGTCGCAGAGAGATAGGACTGCGATGTTCCGGATCGAGGGCCTCGCGCCGAAGCTAGACCCGGAGGAAATGAAACGGAAGATGCGCGAAGATGTGATCTCTTCCATACGCAACTTTCTCATCTATGTGGCTCTGCTGCGAGTCAGTGAGTATTCTCTAGGCGGGACCAAGATAGCAGCAAGGAGCTCGCCGACGCAGCCCACCCGAGCCTGGCCCTGCAGGCCGTTGAGGGCCATTTAAAAGCTGATCTGAGCTGTCTGGAGGGAGAAGAAGGAGAAGCAATGGGCCTCGTGGGGAGGTGTTGCGACGGAGGTGCTCAAGGTGCATGCGTCAAGGGCGAATGGGACAGGCATACCACGCGGTGGCTGGGCCTGCGTTACCTAGGTATTAGAGCGTTAGAATTGGAAGAGGCTCAAAGATTTTATCCTAAAACATCTTTTGCAGACAAAGAAACTTGAGTCCCATAGTACCGAAATGGTTAACTCAATGTCAGCAATAGGATGATCTTGACCTAGAAACTAGAGTTCTTAGCTACATACCAGGTTTCTTTCCATCAGTGCTGACTCTTAAGATCCAAGACGAAATAATTGCTTTTTTATGTATTTATTTATTTATTTTTGCGAGAAAGAGAAGAGAATGAATTTACAGGATAATACCTGAGGTTAGAGGTTTAATTTTTGTCTTACAGACGATAGGAAGGTACTTTTTCAAGTAGCCCTTTGGAAGAGGCCGGCCCCCCAAGTTCTTAAATCCCTTTTGCAAGGCAGAATTCAGCTTTCAAAGGGATATATATATATTATATAGGGAGCATTGGTGGCCTAGTGGCATGAAGCTGCACTACAATCGCTAGAGCACGCAATTCTAATCCACCAGCTGCTCTGCAGAAGAAGGCAGGTGGGCAGTCTCCTCCCATGCTATTAAATGCCTCTGAAAACCGGCCAGAGGGTCAGCAATGGGTCGGTTCCAACTCACTGGTTCATAACAGTCCGGGTTACAAGCACACTGAATAGTTAGATCAGGCAGCACTTTGTCTAGACCATTTTCTCCATATATTCTCAAAAATAATTTGCCCCAAGGTTTTTCAGTCTTAACACTTTAGCATTCATTTTATTACTCTGGTGCTGTATATTGTTGACAGATCTGGGAAGCTAAGAATGGTTCAAATGAAGACATACCAAGGTCATCCTTTATAGGGCATGTACTGGAAATAGGCTAGCACTCATTTAGGGCAAATAAAGGGGTGAGGGATCACTGCCTCCCAGCAGCTTCTGTTTTAGGCTAAATCCATACCAAGTCAAGCAGTTCATGCCAATCACCCGTGGGTTTCCAAAGTTTGTTGTTGTTGTTGTTTAAACCAGCAAACTATCTTTCTCCTGTGCAGAAAGATTCAGACCACCAGCTATTTAATAGCTCACCCCATATTGCACTCCACCACGAGGGCTCCTTAAAGGCTCTTTTAGTCAACACCTCTATTAGTTTATGGTGTTACTCTGTTTTCTAAGGAGGAGGAAATCATAAGGAAGGGCATTTTCTTTTTCATATCATTCAGCAGTGCATCCATCACAGCTATCTAAATCTAGACATGTTACCACCCTGAAAAGAAACATTTGGCAATCACTCATCTTTTTCCTCCAGACCCCTAGTTTCGATTCCTGTGGATTTGCCTATTCTGGACATCTGATATAAATGGAATTATATCTTATGTGACCTTTTATATGTAGCTTCTTTCAGCATATCTTCAAGGTTTACACTGTATCATGTGTCACTATAGCCCACCCTGGATTACAAGATTCATTCCTTAATTTCTTCAAGTTGAATTTGAAGATGAGTCAGAATAAATGTGGAAAAATCTTTAGTCTTTAATGCAAGGAAAAGCTTAAAGATATTTCAGAGATTTGAAAGCTGCACGTGCAGCAAGTGAAATTGGTTATGAAGAATCAGTTTCAAACTAATGGCAAATATACGTAACATTAAGGTACAAGTGCAAATTGTCTAATGTTTCTAAACCCATGGGCTACCTGTGTTTCCTTTTTTATGTTGTTATGCGCTGAGTCAGAATCATAGCTGGCCCTCCATCTGGTTTTCAAAGGCTATAAATCGCAAGGGAGGAGATTGCCCATCCTTCTCCTGCAGAAAAAGTTAAGTGTTGTTTTGTTCCATCGAGTTAAAGCCAACTCATAACAGACTTGACCCTCCAACAGGTTGGACTGCCTATTTTTCTCCCTTGGAGCAGCTGGTGGATTCAAACCAAGTGCCTTTGAGTCAGCAATAAAGTTTCTTACCAGTATTCTTTTAAGAATAAGTAGAAAAGATTGGACATGGTCCTGACTTTGTCACCTGCTACAAATCTCAGTTATGTCTGGTACAAAATTCTAAGTTAGTGAAATATTTAGAGAAATCATTCAGATCAGTAGGAGTACCAAAATATGAGTCCACCTCCTCTGGTTCTCTAGTTTTATGTTGTTTGGTTCAATCTTGGGTAATTTCATGAAACCAGAACAAACAGATTTTTTTATGTGAAGCAGAGTAAGCACTGGAATGGTAAAATTATTTGTTGATGTCCTGGAATGGGAAGAAGGAGCATAGGAAGCTGCTGCAGAAGGTTAGATTATTGTCAGAGTGTGGTATTCAAAGTGTCACTGTCTTTGAGCCAGATACTACTGTTTCAAACTTTCCCATCAAGAGATCTGATTGCTATGGAGCATGCATACCACCTGCATTTTTAAGTGAATTTTTTAGTAAGGCATCGTCCTATTATTTTAATTGGTTTTAGTACATCACTTGGAGTCAATTTTAAGAAAATTGTTGAACTGTAAGGTTTCCCCCTACTGTAATTCTCTACAGTAACTTATGATTAATAAAACTGAAAACTAATTTGGGGTTGGGTTTTGTTTTTTTTCTTCTTCTTTTAGCTCCTTTTATCTTAAAGAAATTGGATAGCATATAAAGATTTGGCATCACATGAGAAGGCATAATATGAAGACCCTGGTTCAAGTTTCCACTCCTATTTGCAAATGAATAGACTCAAAGACTTAAGAAACTCTCTGATTGAATGGACCTTAAAATTCTACTTGTTAAGAACAATTTGCTGTGGACATCTTAGCTAAAATATAAAACTGTGAAGAATGAAAATCTTTCTTGTAATCATGTGGCACACCTTTATGCCTGTGATATTCAATCTCCAAGAATGGTGGTATAATTGTAAATAATGTCAAACTTCATTTTCTAGCAAATATTAATTATAGCAAAGTGTGTCTGAAATACTACTGTCTTGGCAGTCATTTCTTTTTACTCTTTCATTTTGGTCCAGAGTGTCTCTGGGAAGAACCTTTTACAGTTATGGTGTGTGGTTGTTAGCACATAGCCACAGCGATATTTGAGCATAAGACTATTATTCTATATTTTTAATAAATGTGTCAGTTAAGAAAAACTGGGTTTTATTTTCCTTATCCCACTTCTTGCTACAAGCCTACACTCTTTTTTTTTTTTTTAAATTTATTATTTTTTGTGTGTACCATCAAATCAGATGTGACTGGTATGGGAGGAGATTGCCCCTCCTTCTCCAACAGAGTCTGGTGGATTCAAACTGCGTACCTCTGGTATTGCAGTACAGCTTCTTGCCACTAGGCCACCAGAGCTCCCTTGACAAACCTACACTCTTAATATTACTTAATATTTTAATATTTTTATCATTACAGGCTACATTATACTGTTAACTGTGTTCCTTTTGTTTTGGACCTGAATAATTGCTAGTTCTCCAAAAGAATCTGTAAGAGACAATGTTAACTACTTGATACTGAGTATGGATATATGTAATCCCAACAAAGGAAACTGTTAAATTTTTTTAAAATTGATAGTTCTCAAAATTTGAGAAGAGTTGTCAGTCCTTAAATTTTTCCCTCAAGGCAACTACATTCACTCATTTAGCAAATAGTATTTACCTCCATGCCTCTAAATTAGTGATAGCTGCCGTAGAGTCAACCCCTGACTCTAGCAGTTCCGTGCCCAATGGAATGAAATGCCTGATCCTACCATGATCAGATGCAGATCTGACCAATGTGGTCCATAGTTGATAGGTTCTTGAAAATAATTGCCAATTCTTTCTTCCTCATCTGTCCTAGTCTAGAAGTTCTGCTGAAAACTGTTCAGCATAATAACAATATGAACTTCCGCCGACATGGTGCTTATGTTGGGGGTGTATTGTCTGGGAATCAAGCCTGGAAATCTGCCATGAGAGGCGAAAATTCTAACACTGAACCACAACTGCTCCCCTCTAAATATTATATATTATTACATTGTGTTTGTTCTGTTTTGGACATTTTCTAGTGACTATTTTTCTCTGTTAGGATTTAGTTTAATTATATTGGATTATATTGATCATGGCTAGAAGTTCAAAAGTGACTAGAATATTGGCTACAATTTGGGTACTAGATTTGAAGGAAGAGTCCATTAAGGCAGACAAGCAGACCACTATTCATTCCGATGTATAAGGAAAAGATTTGATGGTTTCTAGTTTGATCAGCTGGATGGATGCCATTTGTGGGGGGACATGTTTCAAGGAAAAAAATGGGTCCAGTATTGTACCTGCTGAGTTGGAAGTTAGTATGAGTTGAAGCTGTTGAGTAGGTATTTGGATATCTAAATATGGATCAACATTTGAACTTGAAATAAGTAAACGTCAGGAGTTATTGTTGCAGACCCAGGGTAAAGTACTTTTATAATTATTAATAATGAGACAGACAGCCAAGAATGATGGAACAGAGAGTTTAAAGACAGAAGGCCAGCAGTTTCATCCACTGAAGGGCCTCATTCCAGCTTCCCTGTATCGAAAATTATCAGGAAGTAAATCACAAAGATAATTCAATGCAAATGAAGCCAAACTCTACTGAAAACCTCCCCCTTGACTTAGGAGGCAAGGGTCAGCAGATACAGTGCAAGAATCGGTAAACCCTTAAGGATTGCCTTAGTGCCTCAGGGTAAATTCATCCTGAAATAGCATTGTTACAAATATTTAGTATTGGCTTCCCATAGTTATCTCTAGAGATAATAAATCCATGGTTATGGCTGAGAAAGTACATAGAAAATTACCCATGATGAGGAACTATTTCAAGAATGACCCAGTAGTCAATCAACAATAAAGTTCTCCAAAGTAACAACAGGTATGGAATTTACCCTATAACTGAAGAAAACATGGTAAGGGGAAAAGTGCTACAAATACATATTTCCTATTGCTGCTAAAATAAAAGTACTACAAACTTGGTAGTTTAAAACAAATTAATTATCGTTGATTCCTGATGTCAGAGACCAAAATGAATTTATGAGACTAAAATCTTTATTCTCAAAATGTAAAGAAAATCATCCTGCTGTTAGGTGCCATCAAGTTAATGACATGAATGTAGTAGCATCTGTATGAATGAGAGGTCTGCCTTGCCCTGTACTGCACCATCCTCAGCATCTGTGTCATGCTCAAATCCATTGTGGTTGTGGTAGTGAAGGGTGTTAATCCATCTTGAAGGTCTTCTCTTCCACTGAACCTCTTTCCCAGCATGATGTCTCTAAGGACTGGTTTCTCCTAAAAATATGCCCAAAATAAATAAGATGATGTTTCACCATCTTTGCCTCTAGGGAGCACTCTGGTTGCATTTCCTTTAGTTTGTTATCTTGACAGTCAGTGAAGAATTCAATACTCTTCACCAACGCCATAATTTAAAGGCATCGATTCTTCTGCTATCCTGTTCATGGTCCAACTTTCAGACGCATAGGAAGCAACTGAAAGTACCGTGGCTTGGAACAGGTGCACTTCAATCTTTAAATACTGCTACAGTGGTTATTGATTGTAGATCTAAGTAAAATTGAATAATTGACAGCTTCAATCTTTTCCCATCCATAATGATGTTTCCTATTGGTCCAGTGAGGAGGATTTTTATTTTCTTAATGTTGAGATGTAATCCATATTGAAGGCTGCAGTCTGATGTGCAGTAAACACTTCAAGACTTCTTCACTTTCTGCAAGCAAGGCTGTCATCTGTATAATGCACATGCTTGATGAGGCTTCCCCTTGATGCCACATCCTTCATGTAGTTCAGCTTCTTGAATTATTTGTTGGGCATTCATATTGAACAGGTATGAGGAAAGGAGCCATGGCTCCCTTGTTCTGTTTGGACAACTTGGTCTATACATAGGTTTCAGATGAGCACAATTAAGCTTTCTGGGAGTCCCATTCTTCTAAATAATAGCCCAATTTTATATGATCCACATAGACAAATACCTTTGCATAATCAATAAAAAAACCAAACAGATGTCTCTGTAGTATTCAGTGCTTTCAACCAAGATCCATCTGACGGCAATAATAGCGCTCTGAATGCCTCTTCAGAATACAGCTTGAATTTCTAGCAGTTCCCTGTTGATGTACTGTTTCAACCTTAAATAATATGCAAGATTTTCCCTGTTTGTGATATTACTGATAATGTCTGAAAATTTCTACAGTCTTGGATAACCTTTGTAGGAATAAGAATAAATAAGGATCTCTTCCAGTCAGTTGGCCAGGCAGCCGTCATCCATACTAGAGGGCAGAGACCAGTGAGCACACCTAGCGTTGTATCTGTGTTCTTAAAGATCTCAACTGTTATTCATCATTATCTAGGGCCTTGTTTTTTGCCAATTGTAATTCTTTTGGTATAGTAACTATCCTTTCCATCATCTTTTGATGCCTCCTGCATTATGCAGGATTTTGCCCATAAAATACTTCACCTTGAGGCTTGAATCAATTCTTCAGCTTGAGAAATGCCGAGCATGCCTTTCCTTTTGGTTTTCTAACTTCATATCCTTACACATTTCATTATATATAATTCTTTGCTTTGTCAGAAGCTAACAACTTGGAACAATGATTTTTGTTGATCTTAAAAGAAAACTGAGTTTAATATGAAGAAATTCAAGGAGACAATTTCAGGGCATTGATCAGAAGCTGTAAATGTCTTCATACTATTTACGTGTATACTGTAAATAATGAAATGAAGAGAGAAGAGTTTTTCTCATTGAAGACATGATCCAAGGAAGAAGTGAATAGACATTGTAACTAGTCATCAAGACGTTATAGGTAAAAGACTCCTTACACTGGAGCTCACCAAGTTTCAAAAAAAGCCTTTAGCTAAGTCACAAAAACATTTAGAGTAATATTTATGAATATGAGCATTGCTCCCCACCACTATAAACAATCACCTTTGAAGCACGCACGGGGGTCTCTTACTCGGGATTCTCTAGTGTAAGCAGCTCTACAGATGCACATAGGTGACCCACATACTCATTAACTTTCTCAAAATATTTCTTGAAAGGAGTTGGGTTTGGCTTGATTGTAGGAGAGTCAGGTGTCCATTTGGCTGGGCAGACTTCGCCATGGGCCCCCACAAACTGGAATGCCTTCAAGTATAGGGTCTCTTCCATGCCGTGGCCCACCAGGAGGTCTTTGACACCAATTTCCTGAAGACACCATTGGAGTCAATGATGAAGAGACCTCTTAGTGCAATACCAGGGCCCTCCAACAACACACCGTAGTCTCAGGAGATCTGCTTCATTAAACCTCACAGGAGTGGATGTTCATGTGGCCCAACCTACCGTTCTTCCTAGATGTATTTATCCAGGCCAGATGACTGAAGTGGGAATCTACAGACATGAGGAGGCCACAGCCTCATAGTTCACATCGTAAAATTTGTTGTTTTTGTCGCTAAATGCAACAATTTCTGTAGGACACAGAAAGGTGAAGTCCACGGGGTAGAAGAAAAGCACCAAGTACTTCCCCTTAAAGTCATCAAGGCTCGGGTCTTTGAACTCTCCACTGACCATGGCTGTGCCCTTGACATAGTTGGCATGCTGGGTGATGGCAGGAGCCGGGAGGGAGGAACTGGTGCTGAAGTTACATTTTGCTTGAGGGGAACCAGATCACCAGCTGGTC